TTGCTGGCACTGCGGTTCATGGCACTATGTACGGAACTGCCCATTTAGGCAGCATAGATGCAGGAAGTGTAAAGTCATCGGTCATAAAGATGGCTTTTGCCTACAGAAAAAGCCAAAGCGATCCAGAAGTGCTAAGAAGCCTGTTCCTAGATCCAGTACCAATGCATTGAGCCTAATATCTTCCTGCCAAAGCTCATCACCAGGTGAGAGGAAATTTATTACTCTTAATATTAACGGTTATTTGTGTAGAATGCAAATAGATACTGCATCTGATGTCACTATCCTCTCACGCAAAAATTGGACCAAGTTGGGCAGCCCAAGCCTGCAGCACACAACACAAAAGCCTCGTACAGCATGTGGTAATTATCTTCGTCTGTTAGGACAATTGGGATGTAAAGTTGCTTTCCGAGATTCGTCGTTTACTGGGGTATGCTATATAACGCCAGCTGATCTAAATTTACTTGGTTTAGATTGGTTCGACCAGCTAAAATTGGCTGATGTCCCGCTAAATACCATATGCAACCTGGTATCACAACGACATGACCCAGAAGCGTATACGAAGAACCACGCAGAATGTTATCTGACAACCGCAGTTCGCGCATTACCGGTGTCTGCAACAGACATACAAAATGCTTCTGGAAACGACCCCATCATCAAGATGACGATGAAATATGTCACTAACGGTTGGCCGTCGAAAAAGTTTGAAGGTGACATGAAGCAACTGTATCAGCGGCGGGAGTCACTATGCATCGTCAACGATTGTCTGATGTTTGGTGAAAGAGTAGTGGTGCCAGGATCCCTTCGTGCAAAAGTGCTGAGACAGTTCCATCTTGGTCATCCTGGGATTAAACGAATGAAGTCCATAGCCAGGAGTTATGCATACTGGCCTCACATGGATCAACATGTCACAGCGTTGGTTGAAAAATGCATCCGGTGTCAGCAGGCGGCAAAGATGAATGCCAAAATTCCGCCGGTTTCATGGCCCAAACCTGAGCATCCTTGGTCCAGGATACATGTCGACTTCGCTGGCCCAATAAATGGAACTATGTATTTAATTGTCGTCGACGCCTTTTCTAAATGGCCGGAAATCAGCCCCGTTATGCCGCCCACTACAACTAAGACTATACAGCTCCTAACTGAAATTTTCTCACGAAATGGCATACCAGATGTGATCGTATCCGACAATGGCTCTCAATTCACCTCTTCCCAATTCCAGAATTTCTGTCAACGGCTAGCTATTAAACACTTACGCTCGCCACCATACCACCCGCAATCGAATGGGCAGGCGGAAAGGTTTGTGGATACGTTTAAAAGAGCACTGCTCAAGTCAAAAGGGGAGGGGACGCCAGCCGAAACGTTACAAAATTTCTTGTACGTCTATCGGACAACACCTAATGAATTGTTACCGGAGCAAAAGTCCCCAGCTGAAATCCTGATGGGAAGAAGATTGAAAACGATCCACAGCCTGATGCATTCGACTAATGCACCCTCATCAGTAGAGACAAAGCAGCAAAGACAATCCGCTTGCGAGGTGGGATGCCCTGTGTTTGCCCGCGACTACAGAACGAACCATGGTCCTTGGGTAGAAGCGAGAGTGGTCAGAAGGGTTGGTCGAGTTATGTACGAAGTAGAGGTAGGAGGTGATAAATGGTCACGTCATCGGAATCAGATACGCAGACGGCTAGCCCCAGATCGCCCATCAAGAGCAGAAAGCCTTCCCCTTGACATCTTGCTTGATACCTTCAACCTACCGAGAGCCCCGCCACGAGAAGAAACTCAGCAGCAAGCTGTTCTTCGTTCCCGAAGGTATCCCCTCAGACAGCGGCGAACAATAGTCAAGATGCAAGTCAACCACAGGAGTACACGCTATTAAAAAGGGGAGGAGTGTTGGGGATGTTAGATCCCCAAAATTCGCTTGATAATGCCGTATTTCGGTTTTCACGTTCGCCAGCAGGGGCTGATCAAATGACCTTGAGATTTCAATTCCCACCAGGAAAATCAATGGCTGTGATTGGCTACAGTGTATTTTAGTATGCTATTTTCTTAACTGTCTCAAGGACGTTGTTATGTTGTATAAATAAACGAGAGTTGTATGCTTGATTGTACTGGGATTGCTGGGTGCTTGTAGAATATACTTCTACGCCTACAAAGTCTTCTATTTCGATTCTGGGTATTCAGGGTAGCCTTCCTGGAAGCTGGTAAAAGTCTCGTTCGTGTTTATCGACTAAGGTAAACTCGTAATAGCCTCAAGCATCCTAGTGACGAACATATCAGGCGGATGCCAGAATATGTGTTCGTCTTAATCAGTGTCATAATACCTAGACATTGATTAGACTTAGTGCAGAGAAACATGTTAGACGGTCAGATACCTTAAGTTTGTTAAACTTTTGGCTAAGGGAGAACAAGAGATAAACAGAAAATCAAGGCTATAAAAGTTGCAATGGTTCTTGTTGTAGTTTTTTCCAGTCTCCCTTTCGCTGAAATAGCTCTGTTCATTGAATAAATCATAATAACTTAGGCATTTTGTAAGCCTTGTACATTACCGTCATTCGTGAATGAAATTCGTGTGAGTCTCTATGTGCTTGACCTGTATTTGTCCTTTATTTCTACTCTGAATGACTAACTGCAACTTATTCACCATTCGTATCATAAAAAGATGGACCTACAGTTCGTTCACTAATTTTAACTAAGTTGCAGATCTCCTCCATATTTACTCTCCCTCTGTATGTATGCAGCACATATGCATATCACAAATACTCTCGTATTCGTCTTTTAGTTTCTCTTTGTTGTTAACGGGGATTCAATTTGTTACGAGCAGTCACCAAAGTTGTATTTGATTATGCTTCGCAAATCGAGACCTCAGTTCAAGCTAGGATTTGAAACTATTCTCGTCTAACTGGATTGGGCTCTCTGTCAAAATGTACAACACTCTATGTTGTATTTAACTCATTGAAGGACTCTGTACGTATTTCGTGTTTTGGCCCTAATGTAGATGGTGTGAATTGAGAATTCACTATGAAATATCATCCGTGTTCAATGATTTAGGTAATCCGACTAAAGTAATTTTTATTCCAGAAATCCCAACTGTACTGAGTCACTTAAATTAATAAATACATCACGACAAAGATTTTTAAAATTCGATTTTCCTTAATTTTTTTTACAAGAGGCTTGACTATTATATCTCGCTTTGTACTAAATTCATTATTATTAACTCAATTAACCAAGCATTAACATTTTTAGTTGATAAGTTCGTTGACCATATGGGTCTTACTAATGCCTACCAATCCACTGGAATTTTTAATTTGACGTTGTTCATTTAAGGTTGAATGAGACTATTGTGTTTTATATAAACTATGCATTAAGTTGCTGTACTACCGTGTTTAGTCTTTATAATCGACTAGTAACGAATATAATTCGAAATTGTAACACCCTCAATAAAATTCCACCCATAACGTCTCCTCAGAGCGCGATCTCGGTTTAACAACCACAGAAAGCCCCCACACGAGCCAGAACTATATAGAAGACGCAGTCAAGGCGAATGCGACTCTTCAATTTATGCGAAGACAACTTGGAGCTATCAGCCCACAATTATTCTTAACGTTGTTTAAGAAATATGCACGCCCACACCTGGAGGTTCACAACGTCGTTGGACCCCGTCTGCATAAAAGAGACATGAACCACTTGGATCGAGTGCAGAGACGAGCAACAAATGGGTGATAGGTTTGAAGAAAAAGCCTTAAGAAGATAAACTGTAGCACTTGCGATCAAAGGTGATTTGATTATGGTGTAAAACATATTGAGCAAGTCAAACCATTCCAACATGAGCATCTTATCGACGCATTACCACCACTCTCCTTGAGGCAATCCTCGAAAAATTGCGCATCAAAGAGCGAATAATCAGGTTCGTGCACATGTTTTCTCGTTAAGAGTCGTTTCAAATTGGAATGCTCTTCCAGCCGAGGTAACCACAACCTCCTCAGTGGACAGCTTTAAGAAGAGACTTGATAAATACGTACTCACCAACGGATTATCATCTCCCTCGTGGACATGCTGTGCATGGTGGATGTCTTGAGACCTGCTAGTTGTTATCATTGCCATCTCTTGAGAGTACCAACCTAATCTATCTCTCCCATCATCTCTGTTTCCTCTCCCTTACTTACACTTCGATCCTCTCTCATAATCTTCACTATCAGTTAATAAACTAAATTATCTATTAATTACTAAGTTCTGAAATCCTCTTCTTATTAGCATTAGAATTTTCTGCTTATTATTCTACACATTGCAACTAACTGACCTCCAGTCAGGTAATCTGATAGCTACTGGTATTCAGAAACCCTAATGCCTTGAACTAAACGTTTTCATTCATAACCAACTGACTAGAAATAGACAATCGAGTGGCTAGACCTTCAATCATTAGACACTATCAAACAACTGGAACTATACCGAAAGAATAAGAATTTAGTGCAAAGAAATCATTCGGCTTATACTAGCTCGTTTAAAAGATATTAGATACCAGAAATGATATCATGTATCAGGTGAAAATTTTTATTGATCTGATTGTTCAATCTTCATGAAGCTTTACATTAAGCTTTGACTGAATAGTTTTAATGTAAAGTAGGGTAAAAATTTTCATTAACTCCATGGAGAAAATTGATCGTTGATCAGTTCAAATAAATGACATACTATATTGATTCATTCGGATTATTTGATAAAGTTATCAAAGTATTGTGGGAATGAGTGAGAAAATTTCAACTCATACAAATACAGTAACTTCGATTATAAAATAAAAATCGTTAAAATAAGACCGAAAACGAAACATACAATTCGAACACCATATTACCCTGAGAATGCATTTTTTTTCCGTTACTGGTTCATACATGGTTTGTTTGTTTTCAATTAGTAGTATAAAATGACAAGATTGTCAAATGGGGCTAATCACAAATAAAAACAAGTACTCTGATGTGTGTGTGTGTGTGTACTGGGATACACATTTTTTTCCTTTATGTTAATTTCTCTGCATTTTCTGGGATCATAAATTCTTTTGGTAATTCTGCTGCCAACTTTTTGGCAACTTCTTCTTCATCTTCTTTATCATCTACATCATTCTCATTTTCATCAAAATCACCATAATCTTTGTTGTCAGTTGATTCAATCAAATGACTAGCGTTCAATGTACTAGTCTCATAATTTAATGAATTTAAACAACCAAGCATATCATCAACAATATTTGGATGTGGTAAATGTTTAGTTGGATGATTTAATACAAGCCAATCACGAACATACATTTGATCACCTCTAGGATCATGTTGATCATTGGTATCTTTTGGTGGTGGTAACCAAAATGGTCGATATTTTTTCATTGGTGTTTGTTTGGTTCGATTGAATTTCACTTCAGCTATTAACCATGTACATGTTTCTGGTGAAAAGTATTGTTCAAATATTGAGTAGATTTTTGATTTACTTTTAATAATACAAACTTTGGCTACGGTTGTTTGTGGTAAGAATGGTTTAATTGCTTGCCAAGCAACTTTGAATGCTGGTCCAGGATAAATACACATTGCTAAACCAAGACGTTCAGGATAATGATCAGCCATGATTTTAGCGCATTCATAACCGAAACGAGGATGACAGCTGGTGGTGGTCATTCCTGAGAAAAAAAATTTGGGAAATATTTCGAAAATCATTACAACTGATCAATAAAAAATAAAGTAGTTTTTTGTTTAGAAAGATTTTCGAACTTACTGTTATATTTCATACTACTAAAATGTCACGTTCAGTAGTTTTTATCGTTAAAATTATAGAAATGACTATAATGCACAATAATTGTATTACGGGGTTGTAAAGATTGTTAGGTTACACATTTTGAAACCATGAATCGATCAATGTTAGACAACCATTCGAAACCTGGAAGTACTGGACGGCCACTTTGTCATGATATGGGACTTATCAGTGGCAGTGCGTATCCTCGACTCCTGTACCGCTCAGGAGTCGAACGCAGGACCTTCGGTATTGGGCACGAACGCCTAACCTCTGATGATTCCCATACCAAGACGAAACGGCCGTCCAGTTCTTCCAGGTTTCTAATGGGGCCTAATATTGATCGATTCATGGTTTCAAAATGTGTAAACAGTAATTGTAAACTACCTGCATACTAAACAGCTTGTTATTATACAATGATATTTGCTCTTAGATTGCATCAAGAACCTTATTCATTAACAAAGAACTTCATAATTTTCACATTGACTTTAATATACTGGAACAGTAGCTAAACATTTTGATGATGTATTGTTACGCATGCACGTAAACATGTCATTTTGATATGCTTGGATTATTACGAGTTTATCTTAGTGGAAAAACGAGAGTAAGGATCGACCATCCAGCGATACGACATGCTACTCTAATCCGACTGTCCCAACTCCCCCTCGTTGAGTAAAAGAAGAAGACTTGATATGAAGTAGAACCTGTATTCTGCAAACATCCAGAAAGTACGTGGTCCGAGTCCAGAAGTGAATCAGGACCCCAGACTAAGGATCCGAGTCCGGGTCATAAAATGTTACAGATAATACTTATTTATACATTTAGGTCGAATAGGAAACAGCATCGAAGTCTGTGACATTGACAGTTAAGACAACCAATAAGAAACAACATTTGAAGTGACACTGACAGTAAGGCTGACCAATAAGAAACAATATTGGACTACGTAACATTGATATATCTAGGACGACCATAAAATTGATTAGCAGGAATTAACCAATAGGAAATGATCAATAATTCCCTTAGGATATTGAATAAATATCCTAACAAGTATGCATTTAAATGAGTAGTTTATTCATTTCTCTACTTTGGAATTTTAACATTCTGATAATTGAATGCATAAGTTTGTGTACTAATTTGAGTTCTTTTTATATGAAACCAAGTGAGAGAGAGAGAGAGAGAGAGAGAGCAACACTCAACTAGTCAGTAGTTTGACTGAAAAATATTCACGTTCAAAGTGTAATCTTCTTGTTAACTGACATAAAATTTATTACCCAGTTACACTTTAGAGGCTGAATAAATATTAAAAACGCAAGAGTTCTTGTTAGAATACAAGACTCAAGTTTTGAATGAAAAGTCTATCATGAACAGCTCATTCATTTCATTTGACTAGTAATGACTGGCTGTAGGATCCAAACTGAGGTTTGGATTGTGGAATAATTGTCTTGGTAGGTTAGATACGCGTCTTGCTCAGTCGAAATCAAATCAAGTGATTGGGTTAATAACGGTTCTAATATTCATCATAAATATAAATTTACATCATTAGCTAAACAATATTGCCACTCAGTTATTCCACTAATAATTGTTCAGTTCATCAAATCCACAGGAGATAAATGATATTCTATCCCTACTGGATAGATCAGATTCGTTCAAAGGATAATATTTGCCTTCCAATTCGGGAAGAGTGCTTCAATTCACAATCAAAATGCACAATTCCATTCAAAGCACGCAACCCAATCGAAAGATGAACAAATCAATATGGCTGTCGCCATAACTAAGTATCAGCTTAAACAACATAAATACAGTTCAGAAAGAAAAATGGAAACTCAGTGAAGGCAAAAGAAATAGAAACTTTAATAAAATACAAATATTATCATTTCAAAATGGAATCAAACAGACTAACAGAATGTACAACTGAAGGAGAATCAATTAGGACAAATTACAAATGTATACATGGAGTGATTTTCGTAAACAATGCCTTCAAAAATGGATCTTACATGACTCCATGTAATCGATATTTTAAAACAGTAAGTTATGATTATCATTAATGACAGACAGACTTAAAAATAACATCTGGCTTCAAAGTTCAGAAAACAATTATCCAACTAGAAATGTCATAACAGCTATCATGTTCCCGCCAGTTCCAAGCCCAGATAAAGGAGAAAGGTTGAGTGTAGGATTAGCTACCCGATCCTGTAGTAAACTAACTCGTTAAAAAAATGTTAACCAGAAAGTAAGTCTGTTCGTTCACATTTATGAACTGAGTGGTAACTAGGTTGCTTATTATCGGCTAACTAATTTTTGAGATTATTGTGTTCTCTGAAGTTAGAAGATTAAATTTTAAAGCTTTCTATATTGTTGAATTTCACTGAAATCATGAACTAACCTAAGTTAGATCACCTTTAAAAACTTGGAAACATTAGACGGACGTTTGGTCCTTGTATATAACTCTTCAGTAGTGCCCATCCACAACCTTGAACACAAGAGTCATATTAAGGATTCAAATGACAGATATCAGATGCTCATTAGTGACTGGGTTTGAGAGGAAGTTTTAGGATTTCTAAAGAAAATCCATGATCAGTGTAACTAAGCCGTGTCGACTGGAGACAATGGAAGTTAGTGGTTTAATGTCGTAGACTGGTTGAAGTTAGGTGTAGCACACAAACCCACAGAATCACTTCAATCAATCCTATGTGAGTAGATCAAAGGACAAAATGACAAAGGAAGAAAAACCAAATATCATCTACAAAATAAATTGCTCAAACTGTGAAAAACACTACATAGGACAAAGTGGACGACCTCTTCAGCTCCGTTTACGTGAACATCAAATAGCAGTCAAACGTAACGACAATGCTTCGCTTATATCAATACATACCGACAATTATGGACACACATTTGATTGGAACAACGTGGAAATACTGGGTAGGGGGAGGACAAAGAACACCAGAGAGTTTTTAGAAGCTTGGCACTCAGGTCAATCAGCAATCAACAAACACATCGAAATCGACTAAATTTATCAATCAATCAGAAAAATCATAGGTGACACAGGATCAAGAAACAGATCAAAAAGGGGGGGGTGCAATCAAAACAAAGTTGAAAACAACGACAGGTTTCAGGTCAACAGCAATCAATCAAGATCGAGGTTAGCACAACAAGCTACAGGTCAAACGTGGAGAAATTCGAATGCTTCACTTCTATGTGAAGTTTGTGCTGATGATGTTGTTCAGTAGAAGAACAATGAAAGCTCCACAACCAAAACAACCAGCTCAGAGAACAAAACACCACCACAGAAATCAATATTGTTGGGTTTCGACTTAGTGGTCAACCGGTTAAACATCCGAAGTAGTGGATGCGCACCGTTGTTGAGTCTCATACTAGAACCAAACCGGCCATACAATGGTTCCAAGTTTTAAACGATAGTTTATGAAAACAACAAGATCTACGATGGCGAATAGTAACAAACAAGGCTATCCACAACGAGCTGGTTCAACATTTGTGAACTGAATAAAACTCTCACTTCTAAATGAAGTAAGCTCTAGCGAGGTTATCCAGAACAACAATCACAATTTTCAAATTAAACCATTTGAATTGAAAGAACCAAACGACACTAGAAGCACTCGTCTCAACTGCAAACATTCTTTACAATTTCAATCACTAACTAAAAGGAACTTACAACAGTCGTATCAAGAGGATTTTCTTGACACCTTTTGAATCTTATCCTGAATACCACCTATATTCATTATTTTTGTTTTAATAAAATGTTCATGAAGTTGTTCATGAAGTGGTGAAACCTCATCAGTTGAGGTGGTTGGGCCATGTGCTGCGTATGCCTAACCACCGACTGCCTCGTCGAGCTTTGTTTTGTGGTGTAGGAATAGGTTGGAAGAAAGCTAGTGGCGGCCGAACTAAAACATGGCATAAATCCATGAAGTCGTTGACGAGTGGACTTAGCCATGTTGGTAATTGTCGACTACCTGGTTGGGGTCCGCGAGATGATAATAATCGATGGCTAGAGACCTTGAATGACATGGCTCAAAATCGTTCGCAATGGCGCCAGTGCATTTATTCTTTATGTTCTCTCAAATCCTAATCTTCTGGGTTCTTCAACACCTCTAGCTTTTACTTTCTAAACTTTTCTCATTGAATCATACTTCGTGAAAAATATCTTCTAATCCTAACCTCTCCGATTACTTCTAATACCTTTACTACCTCTTCTACTATTGGATTTGAATTGACAATTGTATCTCTGTGCTGATGTGGTATGGCGACATAGACTGATGTACTTACGTACGAAGTTCTACGTTGCAAATGACTGACTGATTGACATGCTCTCATATATTATGTAGAAAGCTGTGTAATTTTTAATGAAGCAGCTACCTTTGAACAAACCACAAAAAATTTCAAATATGCCCGAATGTTTCCACTAATCAAAAAAATAACATTCCATCCCTGTGACCTTGATCATATATCACATTTGATTAGTTGACAATTGATAAAAGTACCAACAACCTTAGTGTATTTATTCACTATTGATCAGTTAAGTTTTTAGGATAGAAAACACACCCACGTCTTTTTCTACACCTATGTGTGGATAGGTTAGGTTATAAGCTTTTTTGTTTTACAGCTTGAATATTTTCACATATTTAAAGATAAATTCAGTGAACATTAACATTGAATCGAATCGAATCGAATTGAATCATACCTAATCTAATTCAATATGTTTAATAATAATATTCAACTACATTTTATTCTATGCCTTCTTTTATTCAATTGTACGAATACACTTCATGGTTTATTAAAATTACCAAAATTATGTACAACTTTAACAGTTAATTTAAGAAATCAAATTAGTATTAGTCGAAATGAAAGTTTAATGGCATCAGTGTCTACCAACAACAATCAACACGATTCAAATCAAGACAGACAAGTTATCATGATGAATGATGATCATGGATTTGAATTACGTCTACGTAGAGTAAATGATGGTGTGATGATTGATGAATGGTATGAACCTGGCAGAGAATATTATGTTATATTGATCAATCGATATCATTCAATTGGATTTCGTGATGGATTAATGTGGATCGAGAGTGGTATGAATAAAAAAAGTATGATGATGAATATGGATGTAACAATGTCTGGGAATAAAACATCCTACCATGGACAATTTAAACCAAACACAGTATGTTTAATGTTCTGTGAATACATTGTTTTGATTTAAATATGGGCTTGATTATGAAAATCCAACTTTATGAACTTGATTATTAATAACGATAGCAATGACTGACAAGGATAAATATCAAGACCTTATTTAGCCTTTCAAACATCAGAGCTTTTCATTATTAGGGTTGTAGAGATTGTTGAATTTTATTAAAATCATGAATAAATCAATGTTAAAGCATCATTCGAAACCTGGAAGCGCTAGGCAGTCATTATTACACCATAGTATGGGGGATTTATCAGCAATGCGTAGGCATGATTTCAGCATGTGAGAATCGAACCCAGAATTTAACCGAGAGTATGTTTAACTTCTAGATCAGTGAGCCGACAGAAACCGATGAAGTCACTGACAAGTGGACTGAGTCATGTTGGTAGATGTAGACTACCTGGTTGGGGTCGGCGAGACGAAAGTCACCAATGGTTAGAGACCTTAAACGACATGACTCAAAATCGTTTGCAATAGCGCAGGTGCATCCACTCTTTGTGTTCTATGAAATTCTAAGCTTCAGCATTCCTCATAATCTCTACCTTTCTCCTTATAAATTTATCTTACTGAATTATACTTTTCGAATCACAGCTTCGGTCCCTAATCTTTTCTCCATTACTGCTAATCCTTCTATTATTGCTATCACTGTTGGATTTGAACTGACAGTTGCGTCTGTGTGCTGATGTTGTGGTATGGCAACCTGAACTGATGTACTTATGTACGAAGTTCTGCGTTGTATATGTCTGTCTGTCTATCTGAGCCGGCACTCAACACTAATTATATCTAATTTCGATTAATCCATGGTAGTACGCGACCTCACCATACAAGGGCTGAACGTCCATGCTTTTCATGGTGGTCTAAACACTTATTGTCACCTAAAAATGTACATGTAGCAGGCCGAGGGTGAATATTACATCAGCTCAATGGCTTGTCAATAGTTTTACCAATACTGATTATAATTTTCAGTGTTGAATGATTTCTGTGAAACAAATTATTTCAAATTCTGTTTTTCTCAATATTATTTTCAAATGTGATAACTTTTCATGAGTCAATCTGGCTTTCCTTTTTTTCAAAAAAACCTTTTTTAGTTAACTGAAGAAACAACAAAGGATTGTTCTTTTAAAGATTTAGGTGAATGGATTCATTTAACTAATGCTGCTTCAAATAAACTTGGTGTATCAGATTTATGGACAACTGAAACAGCAGTCACTAAATCAAGATTTGGTTGTGAAAATCTTATAGCTGAAAAGATTAAACATACTCAAAGACTTATTACTAAATTGATTGCTAAATGGAAAGCACCATTAAACGACAAATGTGGTTGTATCACAATTAATGGAGCTGTACAAACGCATAATATACAACTTGAAACATTTTCAGCTATTGGTAAGTAGTGTGATTTATGTTTTTTTTGAATATTGAATAAATATATTCAATGATTAATAATTAGTTGCACAGTTGAAATCATCAATTAATCATTGTAAGACCAACACCATTAGAAGAAACCTGGAAGTACTGAATGACGGCTGTTTCGTCCTTGTATGGGACTCATCCAGAGGTTAGGCGTTGGGGCACAGGACTAAAGGTCCTGGGTTCGAATCCTGCGAGTAACAGGAGTCTTGGATGCGCACTGCCGCTGATGAGTCCCATACCAGGACGAAACGGCCGTCTTTCAGTGCTTCCAGGTTTCTTCTAGTGGTGTTGGTCTTACAATGATTAATTGATGATTTCAAATGTGCGACAAACACTAATCTCCATAACTCTAATTGAAAAAGCCTATTTATTAGTTGTTTTATTACAAAAATTACAAGATCCATGTTAGTGGAATGAGTGAGATCTACATTGAACTTGGTTAGGAATGTTACTGGCAACGTTTAACAAATGAACTTTATCTCAGAACTTGACAATTACAATTAATAGAAGCGTAACGAATAAATAAACCTGAAACTTTCTTATTAGTTCTGTGAAATAAAAACTACAAGATAATCAATTGTTAACTTTTTGAAGTCATATCAACATTGCACAAATAGACTACCCTCATCTGGCTACATAAAAGTTCATGCTTCCTTGCTCTTTAACTCTAAACCTAATAAATAGTCACCGAACCTAAAACCTAATACTTGTAAGGTATTTGAATATAAATCTAATCAAGACACTACTATACGAACGTGGTAGAAGAATGCGACTATAGAAATGTTTGAGATTTTTTGAATACTGGTCTAGTAAAACAACAAGTAAGTGAAGTGATGTAAGTCTAAACTAATTGAAATTCGAACAATTTGTTTAAACAAAGGGCAAAAAAATAGTCAGTAAGAAGTCAGGATTAGGTGTAACTAATCGTCAAAATCTATACTTCAACTAGTTTCCACTTGAAAACGTACGGAAATTATCCAATTACCCCATCTCAATTCAATGTTATCTTAATAGTTATGAACTTGGGGTATATATGAAAGTCATGTCGGTAGGTGTCGACTACCTGGTTGGGGTCCACGAGATGTTAGTAATCGATGGCTAGAGACCCTAAATGACATGGTTCAAAACCGTTTGCAATGGCGCCGGTGCATTTATTCTTTATGTTCTCTCAAATCCTAATCTTCTGGATTCTTCAACTCCTCTAGTTTTGTCTTTCTAAACTTTTCTCACTGAATCATACTTCTTGAATAATATCTTCTAATCCTAACCTCTCCGATTACTTCTAATACCTTTACTACCTCTTCTACTACTATTGGATTTGAATTGACAATTATATCTCTGTGCTAAGATGTTGTATGGCAACATGAACTGATGTACTTACGTACAAAGTTCTACGTTGCATCTGACTGACTGACTGAAGGATTCCTTTTTAAATAATCGATAAATTTCTATTTGCCAGTTAAACCTATTGTTAGATTGAGAATGAAGTGGGATTTTTTGTTTTCTGCTCACTATTTCTTCTTCTTATTATTATTTAAAATCTACATTTTATTCAAGGTGGTTTAACTAAAACCCTGTGTCCAAGTTATTCACGACCACCAAGTCCTGTACTTCCAGCTTATATGTTGTCTACAAATGATAAAAATCGTAAAAATATGAAAGAGGAACAAACAATGAAGTTATCACATGATGAACAATTGCATTTAGATAGTATGCAACCTCAAGATTGTTGTGCATGTGGCTCGGCAACTTATCAACTCACATTTATTGGTTTATGGACTAAAATAACACATCCGAAAGATTGGCCCGTACATAATCCTGGAGCACTACATTGGACTAATCTTATCGGTGCTAGTCATTCACCAGGTTTCCAAATTTATCGTATAGGTGAACCAGCTAGTGCTGGAGTTCAAGCTGTTTGTACATATGGTGATACAACTGTGATGAAACAATCCCTTGGGATTGCTGCTACAAATACAGGTTCTGTAGGAGGAGTTCCATCTGGGACACAAAGAGGTTCTACTGGTGTTGGACCATTACTTAGTTTAGTGTCTGCTCCAGGTATGTGGGGAGAAGAAACACTCAATGAGAAGAGAACTACTTATGTTGCTGTCAATAGAACACATCCTTTAATATCATTTTTAACTATGCTTGGACCAAGTCCTAATTGGTGTACAGGTATTTCTAGTCAATCAGTTTGTCAGGCGGATTGTACTTGGGTGAAGAAAATTGAAATTGATTTATTTCCTTGGGATGCTGGAGCTCGTAATGGTGATACATATCTACCGAAAAATGCTGATAACAAGGTGATTGATTTGTTTTGTGGTATTCTATCACTGTTTGTTGAAAACTACAAATATTACTGACTCAAAGAATGTAATGTTTGATCTAAGACCCGAAACAGCATCATTTAAAGGATTTCCCTAGTAGAATAGGATTCTAATCACAAGTTATCTACTACTACTACTACTACATAGTAGTATAGTCAGTATCATTGATCTTCTAATTTAACATAAAATTCAGTAATGATTTCGTAGATTTGGTTTTGTAAATGAATTCAGTATTTTAAAAACCAAAACTATTAAGAGTGTGGTAATATAAATCGGTTTTGCGTGCCAAAAATGATTACTACATATTATTAACATACTCCGCCTACATAAGCCTTTATTGACTTATTCGTCTAATCATTGATAAGTTCAGACAATGTATAGTTGAAATTATTCTTAGATATGGTGTGCGTAGTAGCTAATGCAAATGCGAAATTCAATCTCTGAATCCGATTAACAAAAACTTTTCTAGCATGACAGTTTTACTATCCGAGTTTCATCACGCGGTCACCCTGAAACATCAGATACTACTGTTGTGCGCGAGAACTCAGGTAAGGACATCGACATCTATATATTTAAGCGAATATTACAGAGTTCTTAGGCATATGTACAAAACCTTCCCGTGAAATCATCATTTGCAAACTAATCCTTATTTGTTTCAGATTTCAGTGTTCTTTCATTCATTTAGACTGTTCAGACTTCAGTTCACTTTACCTTTACCTACAAATCGCCTTCTGTTCTCATTTTTTTTTCCTTCTCGATCTTTTGCTGTTAGACGTTTGATTTCCGTTTGATATTATCATATACTACTTATGTGAACATAAGTAGCGTACACCACACTACTACTAGTTTAAAAAACATTTTCAATCCCATTCTATGATAAGTGTTTGTTAAGAAAATCCGCAAAACTGAGGATATCGATTTTTCTGAATCATTTAAAAATCCTTTTTTTATAGAGATTTCAGTTAAATATTCCTTAGGAATTCGGGATTCCTTGATTCATACATATTATTTACATCTGTTCAATAAAGGGGAAATTTTGTTGTTTAGATTTCGGTCACGTGCAAAGTCTGATGTACATGCCCATAGATCAAAATCCGAATCTACCATTACTTCTATAAGTAATCGAATTATTCTTAACTCCATGTGATTACAAAGTAACAGCTTTGTACACATGTGCAGTGCCTGTAATGTTTAAAGTACATTTTCATTTCGGATCTGGATAGAAACGCTGAATTAAAATCGATAAATATTATGAGTATAAACCATTTTTTATTGATTACAGGATGTTCCAGAGCCTATACGTTTTATCACCAGAGATTGGATGCCAAACAATCCTTTCACACCTGGTGTACCGGTTGCAAAATTAATGTTGGAAAGAATTTTACCCCAGGAATCATGGGAATGTACATCGAAATTACACGATGGAGTGGAGTTGTTCAATGCCGACGGTAGTACCGAAACAGTCGGTTCTAAACCAGGCTCACAATCTAGTCGACAATCTCCGATAGTACATTCAGTGATAGGAGATTTAACAGGTACATTGCCAAAAAAATCACGAAATAAAGTTGTTGGTGGTGGTAGTGGTTCCGTTGGAGGAACACGAATTACAAGTGGAGGACTTGGCGGGGATAATCCATTGTCAGATCCGAGTTTAGCACAGATGGCCACATTTCTATGTATCACAGATTCTTGGTCAGCTTGGGGACCATGTTCAGTTACATGTGGTGTTGGTCGTCGAACTAGACAACGTGTTATGCTGATCAATAAGAAAACGGAACTGTGTCAACATGTTCCATTAGTTGAAGAAGAAGTGAGTTATAGAAGATCTTTGATTTTATTACTATAGTTTAATAATATCGTATGCATTCTACAGGAAAGTTTTCACACTAGATTACCCTAAAGTATTCAGTGGTCCATTGTTCAACGACAGGTTTATAAAGAAACCATATTCAGTAAAATATTGCTTTTCAAGTGTATTGACTAAGTATGCCACTCGCTTCCTCCTCTTTACAACAGAAAGATGATAAAACTATGAATTTATTTTCAGTTAAAGTATTGGAGATTTGTGTTTTTACACATTTGAAATCATCAATCAATCATTGTTAGACAGAGGCACCATTAGAAACCTGGAAGAAGCACTGAAAGACGGCCGTTTCGTCCTGGTATGGCACTGACTCATCAGTGGCAGTGCGCATCCACGACTTCTGCACCTCGCAGGATTCGAACGACTGAATGATGATTTCAAATGTGTTAAAAACACAAATCTCCAAACCTCTGCCCGAAAATATTGTAACAGTGCTCACTAGTGACTAGCTTCTTCGTGAGGAAATTCTCGGAGTTCTAGTTGAGAAGACGTGACCAATGGAGTTCAACCCTGTCGGTTGTAGGCAGTAACTAACAAAGACAAATGGGTGAGGTCTCGCAAAATCCCTAGATCAATCAGAGTTGGACATTAACACCGTTGGGTGCCGACACAGTGGTCCGATGGTTGGGCGTTTGCGCACAATACCGAGGGTCCCGGGATCGAATCCTGCGAGGTGCAGTAGTCGTGGATGCGCACTGCCACTGATGAGTCCCACACCAGGACGAAACGGTCGTCTTTCTAATGGTGGTCTAATAATGATTGATTGATTATCCCATATATTAATTTTTATGTAAATCTATAAAACTTCATTAAATTTTTACATTCTTTTTTTCCCTTAACCTATACAAGTCATGTGATGGCATAAAACGTACATGTGATTTCAGTGCAATGTGCAGTTTACTACCATGGACAGCTTGGACTCCATGTAATGCTACATGTGATCAACCAAATGGTCGACAAACACGTACACGTTATTTAGCTCGTCCATTAGAAAAGAAATATTGTGAACATATATTTCAAAATCAAGCTGAATCTGACAGCGGTATGCTAAGAGAATTACGCGAATGTCAACCAAAAGATACTGATTGTGATCCAGCTACAATTTGTTCTGAAGGTAGAAAAGACGGTATAGAATGTGGTGAGAAAATTGCCGCTTATTATTATAGTGCTGTGGAACATGCTTGCTTACCATTTAAATATTTAGGATGTAAAGGTGGTCGAAATCGTTTTCCTACAAAAGAAGCATGTGAAAATCTATGCATTCCAGCTGTTGAATCATTACCTAACTGGCGAAGAGAACGTATGGCTTTATTACAATATCAAACAGCACAGCTAGCTGCGGACAGTGATGAACTCAAAAGCGAAAAAAGAATTTCTCCTGCTCAACATTGTTCTCAGCTAATGGATCCTGGTTATAGATGCATGAATAGTAGCCAACCTGAGAATAGATGGTGAGTTGTAATTTTATTGACAATAAGGAAAGTAAACCATGATGATATCAATTAAGATTACGGGGTTGTGAAGATTGTTAAGTTTTTTTTTTGAAACCATGAATCGATCAATGTTAGACCACCATTTGAAACGCGTAATGCAAATTACCTGTGCTCACTAGTGACTAGCCTCTTCGTGAGGGATCTCTGAGTTCTAGTGGGAAGACGTGATTAGTGAAGTTCAGTCCTGTTCAGGTGTAGACAGTAACTACCGAAGACTGTGTATGAGGTTGCGCAACTCCGTGAATTTGATCAAATTAGACATTAACACCGTTAGATACCGGCCAGTTCAGTGGTCCGATGGTTAGGCGTTAGCCTACAATACCAAAGGTCCTGGGTTCGGAACCTGTGGGGTGCAGGAGTTGTGGGTATGCACTGCTGAGGAGTCCCATACCAGGCGGAAACGGCCGTCTTTCAGTGCTTCCAGGTTTCTAATGGTGCTCTAACATTGATCGATATCAATGAGCTTAAATTATTATTAACCCAAGATTTAAGTTTTAAACATTACTGAATGAATGGTTGGTTTGTTTGAATTTCAATCTTCTCAGTACTTAAAAACCAATCGACGAAAGTTGTTATATTCCTGAGTTTTCTGTTATCAAGCTTAATCTATTGTTGAGTTCTCTGGCCACAAAGTTTCAATAGAACTTTGAAACTCCTACCTTAAACATAACGTCGTAACAAAAGATATCTTGTCATTCAGAATTCCAATTGTTATTCAAGATTTCAGTGCTTTTCAAACGGATCACAACAAGTACTGATACATCAATGAGGTTAGATAACTACACAACAGTTAGTTTCTTATTCACGGACATTAGAAAGAAGAAAATTTTGGTCTAAGTCTACCTTTCCCTATTGCTTGGGGGAATCCTGATGACGTAGCAGGGAAACTGGTCTATTTTGTAAATCTATCTGCCGTCAAAACATTTTATAAAGAATACCAAACATCATACGTAGTAGTGTTTATTACACAGTTTTATCTTATAACTAGGATCATATTTTTATTATCGAAAATAATAAGTATAAACTTAATTTATGCCGGATGTGATTACTGCTTCAAGATTGAGTTGTTTCGGTGTGAAGTAGTCGAGCTTATCGACCGCTTCACTTATCTGGGGAGTCTCATCAGTGCTGATGACCTGGTGACTAACGAAAGCTCGATTATCTTTTGCCAACCTGTTTCACTTATGGAGAAGGCGAGATATCCATTTGCTGACTAAAGGACTAGTGTACTGTGCAGTAGTTTGCTCCGTCCTACTTCATAGCTATGAAACATGGCCAATGAGAGTAGAAGATATTCGTAGGTTACTGGTTTTCGAGCATAGGTGTCTTCGAAGCATTGCCCGTTTATCTTGGGACCAACGAGTAAGCAATGATGTTGTTAGGAAACAGGTATCAGGTGACGATGGCAGACCGGTTGATGAAGTTTTGAAACTGTATCAGTTGAGTTGGTTGGGACATGTGCAACGAATGCCCAACCACCGACTGCCTCGATGAGCTATGTTTTGTGGTGTAGGAGTAGTTTGGAAGAAAGCTAGGAGCGGCCAAACCAAAACACAGCACAAATCCATGAAATCACTGACAAGTGGATTGAGTCATGTAGGTACGAGCAGGCTACCTGCTCGGGGTCAGCGTGACGGAGGTCCCCAATAGTTAAAGAATTTGAATGACACGGCTCAACATCGTTTGCAATGACTTCATCACAGAATAGAGTCGAATAAATGACCAAGATGACACAAATACGTAAGAGAAAAACAAGAATCTACGTTTCATATCAAAAGGTAATATAAATAAAATTCTTGAACTCAAACTGAAGGCGACAGCCAAGTTTTAAGTGAACTTTAATTTGCAAAACCTTGACGTAATTCGTTCAATACACTCTACGATTCAGTTAAAAACATTCATCACCTAATACAGTTCGTTTTCTTCTTCAAATGACATGATTACACGGAAGGAACATGAAAACGGCAAGGAAGGAAATATGGTGAACGTCTTACCATTAAGTTTCAGGGTCAAGATTTTGTACTCTATATATATTTCCTACTCTAGTTAATGCACTGTATTGTATGGTGATCTTCACTAGCAGCTGTTCCTGAAGTCTGATTATTATTATTATCATAGAAGAGTTTTATTAATCGGTGATATTTTGAAATCAATCAAAATGTTGAATCACTCTACCTGAATGAATACTTATCCTTAATCCCATCACTTATTACTGATTTCCTCCTTAGGTATTTTTGTTCACGTCTACGAAGATGTCGTGATTTTGAATATCATGGCTGCGGTGGCAATGAAAACAACTTTAAAACATATCATGAATGTCTGGCTGATTGTCTTCCATTAGAAATGGAAAAAGTCAGACAAATCAATAAAGCACGTATGGTTAGTTTGCGTAAATCCTCCACAACAAACAACATCATAACTATGAATAAAAATCATACTCTGTCAAGTAATCATACCAATATGTCTAGAAAAAAATCAATAACTGACAACCATGATGATGATGATGACTCATTAGGCCTGATGGAACGTCAAAAACTAAATGATATTTCAGGTCATAAACAAGACTGTGTAATGACTGCATGGAGTGGATGGAATCCATGCTCAGTATCATGTTCACATCAAATTGGTATACAAATGCGTTGGCGATTTATTGAGAAACCTGCAATGCATGGTGGTAATTCATGTGGTACATTGTTTGAGAAACGTGAATGTCATGGAACGTCATGTTAATATCATCAAGAATCAAGAATCAACAAATTTACGTTCTATCACGTGAAATCAAAAATCACTTCCAACTACTCGAAAGTCAATAACATAATTATTAATAATAATCTTCAGGGTATCTTTATTTATTCCGAAATTTTTTTTAATCACTCAAGTTCAAATACACAATAATTGTTGTTTCCATTTAATCCAATATCTTTGTTTACCTCTTATTATCACTTACTCAGTAAATAAATCGAAATCCTCTTATTTTATATTTATGTAATTTAATTGTAACTACTTATGAGTAGTACATTGTAATTGACCCAAATTGTAAAACTGAAACTCATATGAAAAACGATGTCATCAATTTTTATGAATTTCAATTTTTTGTAAAAGCATTTCAATGTCATCAATTGGAATTCCAATTTAAAAAAGGCAAGTTTCGTTTAAATTATTTACTTTAATTATTATTGTAATGTGAATATTCGATGAATATTTCGGAATACTTCCTAGTGTCTACATACATACCTTATATAATAAATATTATCTTTTAATAAAGGTTTAATTTCACAAACTATGCTAATTATCATTTTTACATCGGACATTGAAAGTTTAGCATCGATGCATAGCTACTGTCTGTCACACGTGATTACTATGTAAGAGAAAAGCTACATGAGTTCATTTGATCGAATAGATTAAATCATTTAACTCAAATTCATTTGAAAATTCAAACAAAATTCGGTCGAATGAAAAAAGTGATTGTTTTAATTTGAAGCATAGTCAATGATCATTAATAAATGGGATTCCAAATAATTACTGAAAGATGTCTTATGAGTATTAGTAGCCTATATTATACAACAATTGATCGATCGTTTCTCGTTGATATGTATTCAAACTTCCATGTTCATCTGGCTTGAGCATGTTTATTGTTTTGAAACCATGAATCGATCAATGTTAGACCACCATTAGAAACCTGGGAGAAGCACTGAAAGACGACCGTTTCGTCCTGGTATGGAACTCCTCAGCAGCACGCATCCACGACTCCTGAACCTCGCAAGACTGAAACCCAAGACCTCCGGTATTGTAGGCATGTTTAATTAAAAAGTTGTTTGAAGCAAGTAAATATTCAATAAATATGGGGGGGTATTTAGTGCTACTTATTCAATCTGTGAGGAAAACGACTAAGGATAGAGTATTAGATCACTTAAAACAGTTATGAATGTTCACAAAGCTTAAAAGTAAGTGCAACAATGATCTCAATAACTAAGTTAGCACTTGAAACGGGTAGCTTATGAGATGGTGGAGAAAATTTGTAGCTCAGGTAGATAATTGTCGTCGAGTTTCATTCTCTGAGCTAAATGTCTTGGTTGTGGAACACTCATTGTTCTTCTTCTGAACCTGAACATCATTGGCACAAACTTCACATAGAAGTGAAGTATTCGAATTTCTCTACGTTTGATCTGTAGCTTGTTCTGTTAACTTCGATCTTGATTGGTTGTTGTTGTTGACCTTAAACCTGTAGCTGTTTGCACCTTTGTTTTGATTGTATCAGAAAAATCATAGACAAACATAAGATCAAGAAACAAATCAAGGAGGATACAATCAAAACAGATATGCAAACAACGACAAGTTTACGGTCAACAACAACCAATCAAAATTGAGGTTAACAGAACAAGCTATAGGTCAAACGTAGAGAAATTCGAACACTTCACTTCTATTTAAAGTTTATGCTGATGATGTTGTTATTCAGAAGAAGAACAATGAAATGCCTACCACTGAAAAAACATCCATCTCACAACACGAAACACCACTACCACAGTGGTTTATGGTTCAACTTTTTGTTCTCTATGACTAATAACACTAGGCTCATTATTTCAAATGGCGCTGCTTCATTTTTTATTCAAGATTATATATATATATTCAATGTAACAATAATTTTGTTTCAATTACTTACTTACCAGTGCAATCAATCACGAAAACTAATTGTGTCACACCAGGTTTCATACTTCTTATGGCATTTTCAACTGTATACAATAAATGAGTCACGGCATCATTTGACATATTTCTACTTGATATAGCTTGACAAAATGATGCATAGATGATTGGACGTCCAGCTTCATCAAATCCAATTTGTCTCTACAAAAACATTTTTATGAATGTACGCGAATTAAGTAGTATATTTAAAAGTGTTTTACATGAAAAACTCAACTTTTTCTAGTTATCAATGTTTCCAGAACTATCGCGACTATGTTGGGCAGAGTTTTTGGAGGTTTGTGTTTTTACAGATTTGAAATCATCAACCATTTATTGTTAGACCAACACCATTAGAAACCTGGAAGCACTGGAAGACGGCCGTTTCGTCCTGGTATGGGACTCATCAGTGGCAGTGCGCATCCACGACTGTTACACCTCGCAGAATTCGAACCCGGGACCTTCAAATCCTGTGCGCGGACGCCTAACCATTAGACCACTGGGTCAGCATCCAACAGTGTTAATGTCTAACTGTGAATGATGAGTCCCATACCAGGACGAAACGGCCATTCAGTGCTTGCAGGTTTCTAATGGTGTTGGTCTAACAATGATTGATTTATGATTTCAAATCTATAAAAACACTAATCCTCATAGCTCTAATTGAATATTTAAATTATATTTCTAGTTTGAAATCAATTATTGTTACTCTGTGTCATAATGTGTATGTTTTCAAAGTTTAGACCGATGAGGGTCTTTCTTGAAAAGTATCTATTTACATTCA